TTATATCCAGTCTTCTCTGAGGCCACAGTTAACTTGTCTAAGTTTGCCAGGGGACATCTCGGGTTCCTGAGCCTGTTTTCTCTGCCATGGTGTCATACCACCGTCTCCTTCTGTTGAGCTCCCACAGAATGTCACTTACAGCTTCTTTAGGAACTGTTATGCCTGTTCATCTTCTAGGTAGTAATTTCCTTGAGAATGAGGTCTTTTGAGCTTGTGTCGTCTTCCAACACTCTGCAGCTGGTGATCTGGATGATTCTCCTTCACACTCTCATGGAAAAACAGGACACAACGTAGAGACTGATAATGATAGGCTGTGCAAATAGCCCACATTTCCAGATGCTTACTTCTGCTAACCCCTCTGTATGGATTGTCTCTTCTGTTGCCCACAGTCATCCCCTGAGGTAGCTGCTATTACTGTCTTCATTGTCTAGAGGAAAGGAACTGAAAAGCAGTGAAGTTAATCAACATGTCAACATCACACAGGAACACAGCAGAGCCTTAAGTCCAAGGAGAGCTTCAGGGCCCATGCTCTTAACTGCTGTGCCAAGCCACTTACTTTAATTAGAAATAGTGCTTCTCTATCTCCCTAGGTCACTGAGGGCACCCAGTGCCAGAATTGAGAACATTTATGAAGTTGCTGCTCTGCTCTATATTTGTCATACACTTCAAATTTGGGGCTGGTCACGAGGCAAGAGGAGCCTGTCAAAGGAAAATGTGTATGGATAGAGCAGAAGCCATGGATTTTACTTCATTTATCTATATGAAAGCTCCACCTCAACACTGAAGCAATTAAAAACATAAAGGAAAAGCAAACTCCGTGTTCGGTCACACACAGTGATTTATTTTATTGCATCCGATTTGAGATTTGCAACAGTCAGAGAGTATGTTTTCATTAAAGGCCTGTCCTGGGCATCATAGGCATTATAATTAACTCAGTCTGTGCTATTGGAAGATATTCTTGTTTACTACAGATTCAACTATTCAACTTCTACATCCCAGCATCTCCCCCAGCAAGAAAGAAAATCTTAGGACCCCACTTTTTGAACACTGGTACCTGGCCTTCATGTTCAGTTCCAAGTGCCACTGCAATAATTCATGTTGAAGAGAAGAAAACATTTGAGAATATAGATTGTGTTCATAAATCCCTCATTCCTGTCTAGAATGGGTGGAGTGGTGTGAAGGGAGGAAGAGAATCCCTCAGCCACCCCAGATGGGCTGGAAGGAAAATTAGCACATAGAACAATGTGACACTGGTTTTATTTATCCCCTTATTAAGATGCCATGACAATAACAAAAGTAATATCCAAGTAATAGCATTAAATGGCAGGAGATAACATCTGGAATAGAGAGGGGGTAAATTCATTTCTATTATCCTTGTTTTCATTAGGTTGTGCATAAATGGTACATTTCCACTTATGATTACAAATTATAGCAGTTCAAAGTAACTAATGTTTGTGTGGTGCAGATATAGTTTGCAGAATTTTTTCATACGTATTGTTCTGATTGAGCCTCCGAGATGGTCATCATACCACTGTTGGAGTAATGAGAACCACCCCATTTAACAAATACAGAAATGAGGCTGACAGGGCTTAACTCAAGGTCACACAGTAACAGGTAGATCTCGGACTTGAATCTAAGTCTTATGAGTTCACATCCTAAGTTGAATTTAGGGGAAAAAACAGCCTTATTCTGTAGCACCAAGCTGATGAGGCCTGAAATATGAGGGTACAACATCAGGGTCTTGCATAAATAACAGTCAAGCCACCTGCTACCGAACTGTACTTTTATGTACTGATACCTTTAGGGACTACTGGGGGAATGGGTAGTGGGATGCTTCCCCTAAACTACTATGATTTTTTAATTTCATATGTCTATATGATATGCTATTTCTGCTCTTCCCCATCTGGCTGTTAGCTGTCATTTTTTGTTGATCACGGTGCTTCTAGAGCAGTGGTTCTCCAAGTGTGGTTGATGGAACAGCACTATCAGCATCACCTGGAAACTCATGAGAAATGCAAATACTATATGTATCAACTATACTTCAGTAAAAGAAATATAAATGAAATGCAAATTCTCAGGCCTCACCTCAGACCTACTGAATCAGAAATTCTGGGAATGGAGCCCACCAGTTTGGTTTAATGAGCCCTCCAGGTGATTCTGATGCTTTGAAGACTTGAGAACCACTACCCTGAGCAATGATTCTCAAACTTCGCTGTACATTGGAATCACCTGGGAGCTTTAAAAACTACTGAGGCATATTTGTAGCAACATGGATGGAACTTGAGGGTGTTATGCTGAGCACAATACGTCAGGCAGAGAAGGACAGATAACCATATGTTTGCACGTATAGGTGGATTAGGAGGAACTTAACAAAGGACCATGGGGGAGAAGAAGGGGAAAAATAGTTGGGGAGAAGGAGGGAGGCAAACCATGAGAGACTCTTGAATGCTGAGAGCAAACTGAAGGCTGATGGGGGTGGGGGAGAGGGGAAGGGGGGGTGATGGGCATGGAGGAGGGCACTTGTTGGGATGAGCACTGGGTGTTATATGGAATCCAACTTGACAATAAAGTAAGGGAAAAAATAAAATAAAATAAATAAAATAAATATATAATATAATATAATATAATATAATATAATATAATATAATATAAAATAAAAACTACTGAGGCTTGGGTCCCAACCCCAAAGATTCTGCTTTATTGGTCTATAATATGGTTTTCAACCTCTGCACTATAGGCATTTTGTGCTGGATAACTATTCACTGGGGAGACCTATTCTCTGCCAGCTAGATGTTAGTAGCCTCCATCCTCCAACCTGATTGTAATTACCAAAATGTCTCCAGACATTGCCAAATGTGCTCTGGGGGACCACACTGCCCCAAGATGAGAAGTACTGGTCTAGGGGCATGGCCCAGGTACTGGGATTCTTAAAAGCTCCCTAAATCATTCTAATGTACAGGCAAGACTGAGAACTATTACTCTGGAGAGTTCCCAGTAGTGAGGAGCCCTGGATGTGCAGTGGACTAAGGAACAAAAAAGACTAAACTTTATAGCACTGAATACAAAGAAAGAATAAATCAACCTTCAGTGAAGACTCCAGCAGTTTGCCCGTAAGTAAAGTACACGAGCTTTAGGGCATAAATTTCACGTCAACCAATGGGCTTCTTACATTTTTGCTTACTTTCTGGTTGTTATGTTCCAGAAAACTGGCATACACAGTTACGTTGCACATAACTAAAACATCCCAACCAAGTAGACATTGCTTTGTACTAAATAGAGTGGTGGACAGAGATCCTGCTTTTGGATCTAGTCATTCTAAAAGCAGAGTGCTTATGAGCATACCTTGTGGGACAAGTCCTTAGGTAAATATGGTTTTGATAGGTTAAAAAAATGCAGCCTGTCAATTTTATATTGATTTTGACATAATCCAAATCAACCACACACGTACATACATACATATACATTCTTAGTCAATGTATACACTCATTTCTGCCATTTAGAGGTACTTTAGTTTTCAGATGATGATCAGGGACTTTAACAACATATATTTCAACTGTAGAAAAATCCCCTGGGCTCGAATCAAGGAAAGTATCCTTCAGTAAAATCCACACTCAGCAGGTTGCCCTCTGCTCCTTCAGCGATTGTTCTCTGGTAGCCCTCTCTATCCTCCAGAGAATACAATTAGGCCACGGGATGCACATCATGTTCAAGTGTCTGCTCTGTGGCTCTTAGGCTGGATAGTCTCACCACAGCCCAGACTGAGAGGTCTCCAAGCACAGAGTTTCTGGGAGCTCCTGTTTAACCTGAAGTCTTAAATAGAACAGTATTCTCCCACTTCCTCAAATAACCCATTGACAGGTGTGTGGTTTGTTTCAATGTGAAGAATGAAATACTACTCTGGGGTACTGATAGGCAACTTTTAAATAGAAAGTAAATTTCAAGATGGATGTGTTTTCAGGGCAAAATTGGTACTAATTTCAAAATATGAAAATATTGGCCTCAATTAATGAGTTGGGATTATTAATTCATTCAATACCTACTATGTGCTAGGACCTGTGTGATGTCCTTGAAATTATAATAATAGCATAGGCCTTTGTATGGCAAAAATAAGCTATGACTGCCACAAGGTGCCGGGTTAACCCTTTGAACCAATCCAACTTGTCTTTTGCCAGACTAGTTTGGTTTTTCTTTTATTGAAGTGATAGTAGCTTGTTAACATTAACGAAACCAACTAGTTCTTTTGCTGTGGTCTAGATTTATCTTATACAGTTGCCTATCTTTTCCTATCTTAGTCTAAATTCTTTCATGGATGTGCTTTAAAAATCCAAACCTTGGGGCACCTGGGTGGCTCAGTCGATTAAGCGTCCAACTTCGGCTCAGGTCATGATCTCATGGTTCGTGGGCTCGAGCCCCACGTCAGGCTCTGTGCTGACAGCTAGCTCAGAGCCCGGAGCCTGCTTCTGATTCTGTGTCTCCCTCTCTGACCCTCGCCTGCTCACACTGTCTCTCTCTCTCTCTCAGAAATAAATAAAACGTTAAAAAAAAATTAAAAATCCAAACCTTTTAATTAGACAATAGAACTGCTTACCAAAAATGTACTCTAGGCAAAAAATATCATAAAAGACTTGTTAAAAGGTATTATTTCCATATGTTCCCAGTTTTTTAAGGGCATATGCTTTTAGGTACATAGGAAGTTTTCTGGAAGAAAACACACTTAACAATCAACAATGGTTGCCTTTGGGCAGGGATTTTAGGGGACTTGACTTTAAGGGAGACTTGCTTTTCATTACATGTTTTTATACAGCTTCTTTTTTACTATTTTAAATCTTGTGTTTTTAATTTTCAACGCTAGTAAATAACAGAAAGGATGCATTCCCAGTAGTCTTTCAGAAGTTCCAAAATATCTCTTCTAAATAAGAGAAAAATAGGTGAGTTACACTCTATGCCTTTTTGATTCCCTCTTTCTTTTGAATATGCTTTATTGCTAAAACAGAGCAAGCTGAGACTTGGAATGTAAAATTACTCCCACATTGGTTCCATGAAGAAAGAGATTAACAAACAAGACCTATTTGAGATTGGGTAGTTAATGGGGGCCTCTTTGAGGAAGCCATCTTTAATCAGAAAAGGAAGAAGTTGCCACAGGCAGTGGCCTAATTTCCCCTGGCTACATTAGGACAGTTACTTTCCATACATTCTTTCAGAATGAAGTGGATACAGGTTATAGAAGTCTCCTGTGATTGTCCGGAAATTTCCTCTAATGATTTCCTCTAAAAATTTCCCTGTGTCTTTAATTCCCAAGAAGAATCAATGCTCACTCCTGGAGAAAAGAAAAATAACAACATATATAATAAAACATCTCCTTATGTCAAAGAAAGACAATTCTATGATTTTTTGGTACCCACCAATTCTATTATATCTTTCCCTTCAGTCCTTCCTCTATATCTAACCCCATCTGGCAAGCATGAAAAATGAAAAAACAAGGGCCTGAAACAATACATGCTCAGTTGTGTTTTTTTCTGTATCATTTTTCTTAGCACTGGTCATTTATTCCCTCACAGGACCTCAGAGTTTCCCTTGTGTTAAGCAAGAAACATCCCTTTCTCTGATTATTGGATGTGTGAATTGGGGAATCTATCCATGTGGATTTCAGGATCCTCTATTTCTGAAATGAACCACCATAAGAGCTAAATTATTCCAAATCATATCCTATAACAATCTCTACACATTTTATTTACATTTCTGTAATACTTCAGTGGAGAATTATACTTGTGGGACAAAATAATAAACTCTCTATAAAAAGTAGTTTTCAGGTTTTCTTTTCTTTATAGGGTCATCTCAGAAATAGTGTTTTGGGGACACTTGGGTGGCTCAGTCGGTTAAGCATCCAACTTCAGCTCAGGTCATGATCTCACAGTTCATGAGTTCCAGCCCCACGTCAGGCTCTGTGCTGACAGCTCAGAGCCTGGAGTCTGCTTCGGATTCTGTGTCTCCCTCTCTCTCTCTGTTCCTTCCCTACTCTCACTCGGTCTTTCTCTCTCAAAAATAAATAAAGTTTAAAAATTTTAAAAATGTGTTTTGTATCTTGCATCAAGCATTAACAACCAGCAATCAGCAATGGTATAATATTTGTAGCTTCATGAAAACAGTCAGTTTAGGACAGTGTTTCTGTGAAGAGACCACCAATTGTCCTTGGACAAAAGTTTATGTGGAAATTCTGAGAAGACACCCACCAACGCTGATCAGAATTAAGGAAAAAGAGATGAGAGGCAGAATTGGATTGAGGACTAGGTCCATTTGGCAAACCATTCAAAAGAAAAGGAAATGTGTTTTAAGTGTTTAAGAGAGAACTTCTGGAATAAGTCATACTAGGTATATAAAAATGGGATTTTAGGGGTGCTGGGTGGTTCAGTCAGTTGAGTGTCCATCTGTTGATTTCAACTCAGGTCATGATCCCAGGGTCATGAAATCAAGCCCTGTGTCTGGCTCTGCGCTGAGTGTGGATTCTCCCTCTCCTTCTGCCTCTTCCCCCCAACTCACGCATATCTGCATGCACACTCTCTCTAAAGAAGAAGAAGAAGATTTTAGAGAGCCCTGTATTACTAAATTCTCAAAATGAGTATCATGTTAATGATCACATTGATCATGAAATTAAGCCTTATATAATCTTCTAGAAATGACAGAACAGAAATTCAAAGCTCAACTCAGAGTTCCTAAGGCAATAGGTACTTTGCAAAAAAAAGAGGAAAAAGTCTAATTAGTCAACTTAGTAGGATAGCGTTTCCTAATAAGTGGAGTAGGTTTCAATTCTGAGTTACTAAGCAAAAAATTAGAAGGGAAATCAATACCATTTTTACTATTGAAAAGACGTCAAGTATTCAGCAAGGACTTCCCTTTTAGGTAGCTGTGCTATTATTAAAGCCCAGGCTCCTGGCATAATACCTAATTAGATAAATATCAGCATTTCACGGGGAATTTTATGTTCTTTTTTTTTTTTTTAACAAATAGTTTATTGTCAAGTTGGTTTCCATATAACACCCAGTGCTCATCCCCACAAGTGTCCTCCTCCCTGCCCATCTCCACCCCCCCACACACCCATCAGTCCTCAGTTTGTTCTCAGCATTCAAGAGTCTCTCATGGTTTGCCTCTCTCCCTCTCCCCCACTTTTCCTCCCTTCTTCTCCCCCTTGTTCCTCCGTCAAGTTCCTCCTAATCCTCCTATACGTGCAAACATATGATATTTATCCTTCTCTGCCTGACTTATTGCGCTCAGCATAACACCCTCAAGGTCCATCCATGTTGCTACACATGGCCAGATTTCATTGTTTCTCATTGCCATGTAGTATTCCATAGTATAGATAAACCACATCTTCTTGATCCATTCATCAGTTGATGGACACTTAGGCTCTTTCCATAATTTAACTATTGTAGAGAGTGCTGCTATGAACATTGGGGTACATGTGCACCTATGCATCAGCACTCCTGTATCCCTTGGGTAAATTCCTAGCAGTGCTACTGCTGGGTCATAGGGGAGTTCTATTGTTAACTTTTTGAGGAACCTCTACACTGTTTTCCAGAGGGGCTGCACCAGATTACATTCCCACCAACAGTGTAGAAGGGTGGGGAATTTTATGTTCTTGCTACTTACCACAGCCACTAGAGGGTATTCATCCTTTCCTTCCAACAAACGTTTTAAACTGTCAACATGAAAGAATAGATTTTCCTTCAAATGCTACAAACAGATCTCAGTAACCGCCTTTCTCTGTATGACAAAGGGAAGTTTAAGCCTACATAAAGAAAAGCCACTGGTGACACACCTAGTGAAGCAGAATCAGCCCTGTAAGCACAGAGGAGTAGCTAATTTCAAAATGGCTTTAGGGTGTTAACCAGCTGAAAAGTCTGTGCCTCCCCAAACCACTTCCTTCTCCCAAGACTCTTCATAACCTCGCATTCAGAGCCTTTGCTGCTTGTCAAGAGATAACATGATCATCCAGCCCTGCTATGTGAAATCTAGCTTTACTCACGGTTTAATAAAAATAGGTAAGAGAGGACTGCCTCTCACTCAAGCTGTCACCCAAACCCTAACCTTTTGCTACTCTTTGAAATGTAGGTGGTATGACTGCTTCACATAAGATCAAAGGTTCATCTCCTATTATTATATATATCATCCTCAACATTTTTCCAGATAAAAAAATGCTAAGGCTTTAAAATATTTTTTTAATGATAATAATACTCTATTGCTGTCATGCTAACTAGAAAGCATAATGAATAATGAAACTGAGAAGTTTGGAAGATCATTAGATATGTAAGTGTCCATGCCAGCTCTGTCATTTCTTACCGTGGTGTCTCCTTTTTTCAGCTGCTGGCTGGGCGTTGGCCTTTTGAAAACAATGACTTTGGAGTATTTCTTTGCAAGCTGTTCCCCTTTTTGCAGAAGTCCTCGGTGGGGATCACCGTCCTCAATCTCTGCGCTCTCAGTGTTGACAGGTAATGTGGTTTTTCCCCTCTACTCGTGTTAGATTTAGGAAAACATTTTCTCAAAAAGAAGAGAAGACAAGGAGCCTTGAGAGTTGGTGGCCAGGACGGTTGTTAATTAAAATATCAACAATCTTGCCCTATTGCTGAGAATTGCCTTACACATTTGCTGGTTGTTAGCCATCTTTAGCCCAGGCAATTTCTATCTAGAGCATTTTGCCAGTTACAGCCATTTGGCACCCTATGGCAACAAAGGAAAATGAACATATTAGATGGAAGGAACTTTGGAAAAGGAGATTTTAGGACATCCAAATCCTATATTTTCAATGTTGGATTTCTCATTAGAAAAAAGAAGATACCATTCAATTATACGTATAATGCTCGATTACTTGAGCTGAGTGGTGAGTACATAATATTGTTACATTCTTCTTTTATGCTTCTTTGAATGCCTGAAATGTTTCATAATTTTTAAAAAGATAAAAAGAGGGCAACAACAGAAGCACCCCTTGATCAGATTCTGAAAAACCCATCAAGTATATCTAAGTCTTTCTGGAATTCTCCTCAAACATGGATGTCAAGACTTCTCTAAAGGAGTCCTCCTAGATGGTATTTTCTTTACCTTCTAATTTTCATAGCAGGATCTATAAAGAATGAAGTTAGGAACTTTATAACACATTCTATGGAGTCCTTTTATGTTGAATATTATCCTATGCACATGTTCTTTAATGCCTTATATAATTGACTTACTACAATTTAGAAGAGGTTTCTTATTTTTTCTGTCTCACATTCTGGCAACCATTCTATCAGAGCACCTGAGTCCCATCATTATAGACATAAAAGGCTCACTTTCTTAAAGAACATTTAAGTTTTTACAGATATTGTGTTGTCATTTGCAATTAATTTGGGGGACCAAATTGTTATTGATAAAACATAAAAATACTTATTCCATTAGGAGTTGAAAATTATAATGGTATCCTTATTATAAATTTAAGCCTGTAATAACTGTGAAACACAAACCAAAATGCTTGGTAGTGTTATTAAAAGTAAATGTATTGCAGGGCACCTGCGTGGCTCAATCAGTTAATCGTCTGACTTCTGCTCAGGTCATGATATCATGGTTTGTGGGTTCAAGCCTCGCATGGGGCTCTGTGCTGACAGCTCAGAGCCTGGAACCTGCTTCGGATTCTGTGTCTCCCACTTCTTCTCTGCCCCTCCCTGCTCATGCTCTGTCTCTCTAAAATAAAAAACATTAACATTTTAAAAATAAATAAATAAATAAAAATGTATTGCACAAAAATGTAATGCTGAAATTAAAACAAAAAATGTTCCTTCAGTAGTTTAAAATGTAGTGATGGGTTTGACAAAAATGCTGCCACAGCGATGGTAAACACAAAGATCAGAGATCATTTCTCCCTTAGTAGTAGGATTCTCAGTAATTCCCAGGAAAACCTGAGGTCTCTGTGGTTTTCTTCCGCATCATATCAGACATTAAGGGCTGCAGTATTAAAACATTTACATGGTGCAGGTGCCCACTGTATCACTTCCACTGCACTGAATAATAGACTGTGTTACTATGGCCATCTCCTGAAAAGTTGAGTAAGCATTTATAATCTAGATTTTATTCACTAATGAATTCTCACTCTGCTGTTCCTCCCCTTGCATTCCAATAGCATTGTTTTCTCTTGTATCCAAAGTGTTGTGGTATCTAAAAATTAAAGCATATAAATTGTATCTGTGACATGACAAATACATGTAAAATTTTTCTTATATTTGTCAAGTTGTATATTTAGAGATATAGCTATATATTCTTATTAAAATATCCAATTAAATTTTTAGTTATTACTCTAAAATCCACATGGGGAAAAGACCTAAGAAAATAATCGAGATAGTTTTAAAAAGAATTATGTTTCCTACATACATATTCTTCCTATATAATAGTGTTAAATGTTATGAAGTTACAGTGTTTAACAGTGTGGCACATGCGTATAAATATACTGAGAAATAAATGGGAAAGCCAGAAACAGGTGTTACAGCGTATGAGAACATAATATAGGCCGAAATCACTTTTGTAATGGGGAAAGGAAAGATCATCAATAAACACTGCTATTAAGCCATCTGAGAGAAAAAGCATGTTAAAGTCTTATCTTGTATGGTATATCAATAATAGTACTTATAATAATTACCACTTGTATTATTAGTATGTATTGGGCCCTGCTAAAAATACAGAAATTAATTTACTTAATCCTTACACCACCACCTTGTGATAGTACTGTAATTATCCTCATTTTATAGGTGAGGAGTCTGAGGTTGAAAGAGGTTAATAATGAAGTCCACTTGGCTGCCAAACGTTGGAGCCAGTAATCAAAAAGAAGTGGTCTGCTTTTTTACCACTATGCTTAAGCATGTAAAAACTCAAGCCATAGAGAAGAAAATAGACTAATATATTTTTGATCACTGGAAAAAGAGGGCTTTGGGAACTTAAAAAGGATGGTAGAAATTCTGAATATAATTATAAAAGGATTGCAGGACATAAAATTTTAAAATATTAAGATCAAACATTCATAAATTTAAAAAACAAATACAGCAATAAGCTGGGGGGAATATTTGCAGCAAATACTTGCAGCAAAAGCTACAACATGTTAATATTCTTGGTAATTAAAGAGTCCATACAGATAGTAATTAAAATTATAAGACTTCCATATAAAAAGAGCACAAATATAAAAATGTCAACGAAGAAACTTAAATGACTTTTTAACATGTGAATAATATTCATGTAATCAAAGAAATTCTAGTTAAGAACATGTTTCTTGATATCTGGGGGGAGCAGAGATTTAAACAGCCCTTCAGTGGGGCACCTGGGTGGCTTAGTTGGTTGGGTGTCTGACATGGACCCAGGTAATGATCTCACGGTTTGTGAGTTTGAGCCCCACATCAGGTTCTGTGCTGACAACTCAGAGCCTGGAGCCTGCTTTGAACTCTGTGTGTCCCTCTCTCTCTCTGCCCCAACCCTGCTCATGCTCTGTCTTTCTCTCTCTCAAAAGTAAATAAACATTTAAAAAGTAAAATAAGGGGCGCCTGGGTGACTTAGTCAGTTAAGCGTCCGACTTTCGCTTAGGTCATGATCTCGGGGTTCGTGGGTTCGAGCCCCGTGTCGAGCTCTGTGCTGACTGCCAGCTCAGAGCCTGGAGCCTGTTTCAGAGTCTGTGACTCCCTCTGTCTCTGATCCTCCCCTGCTCACGCTGTCTCTCTCTCTCTCTCTCTCCTAGAAATAACTAAAACATAAAAAAAAATTTTAAAGTAAAATAAAATAAACAGCCCTTCAGGAAGGTAAAATCCTATATACGCTTTTGCCTTCTGACCTGGTAATTACAAATTTTAGGGTTGATTCTAAGGAAACAATCCAATCTTTGAACAGAGAATTCATGCACAAACATGTTCTTTACAATATTATTTACAGCAAAATACAGGAATCTTATTGCCCCATATTAGGCCAATGGAAAGGAGGTTAAATATAATTGACATGTATAGGTATAGGAATGTAAAATTCTTCAAACGAAACATGATAAATATTATTAGTAGTTATATTTAGGGATGGGGGACAGGTTTTTGTAATGTTCTTCTATGAGTAGGAAAAAAATATTAAAGTTTATTTACTCTTATTAACTATTACCCATTTTCTTTATTTATTCTATGCCATTTTATACATTTTCTTTTTTCTCATTTATGCAGCCCATTCCTATGACCAGTGTTTTATATCAGGACTAATGTTCTATGGGCAGGCAGCTCTAAAATACAAGAATATATAGGCACATAAACATGAACACAGAAGCTTGTGTACATGGAGAAACACATGTATATGCCCAGCTCAGAGTTTCTTCCATCCCTATTGTTGCCTTTACAAAAATACCATCATATTTAGGAAAATAACATTTTATATCTAAATTAAACTTTGTTTCAAAGGCATTAGAAACCAGATGATAATGAATGTTAGGAAAGAGGAATTCAGCATCCTAAAAGAAAACTACCCCTCTGAGGGAACATCTAACCAAAAGCCAAAGCTAGGTAAGATTAGCATCTTACAAAAGAGAATGAGAAATAAAATGAAGACAAGGAGAATTCTTGTTTTCTGTAAATAATAAAATTTTCTAAGATATCTAAATATACTCCCCTAAGAAGCATTGATAAAAAGAGAAGCCAAAAGAGAGGAAAGGATAATCATCAGGGAGGGGGAAATCAAAACCACTATGAGCTATCACCTCACACCCATCAGAATAGCTAGTATCAAAAAGACAAGAAACAATAAGTGTTGGTGAGGCTGCAGAGAAAAAGGAATGCTTGTGCACTGTTGGTGGAAATGTAAATTGGTGTAGCCACTTTGGAAAACAAAATGGAAATGCCTTTGAGCATTACAGATAGAGAGAGCAGATTGCTGGTTGCCAATGGGCAGTGGGGGTGAGGGTGAAATGGGTGCAGAGGGCAAAAGTTATTTCATAACTTCCAGTTATAAAATAAATAAGTCATGTAATACAGCATGATGACTGTGGTTAATACTATGATCCATATTTGAACACTGCTAAGGGAGCAAATCTCAAAAGTCCTCATCGTACACACACACAATCCTGTAACTATGTGTGGTGATAGATGTTAATTAGACTTACCATGGTGATCATTTCACAATGTATATGGATATTGAATCATTATGTTGTATACCTGAAACTAATATAATGTTTTATGTCAATTATACCTCCATAAAAATAAATAGATAAATGTTTTAAAAAGAATTTAGTAAGCAATGTAAACAGTTGTCATCCTTGTGATTTATTTCCTTTTTACAAAATTTAGAGTGTATTTTGTGAATAGTGTTATGTGGCATGGTTATTGTGGTCCCTTTTATATTTTATATGTCTGTGTCATACATTTTTGGTTGATGAAACTATTTTTTATTTTTTTACAAATAGTTTATTGTCAAATTAGTTTCCACATAACACTCAGTGCTCATCCCCATAAGTGTCCTCCTCTATGCCC